CCCTCCCTTCCCTCCCCCTCCCCCTCCCCCCAAACACACAAAAGACAAATTATTTTTCTTTTTTTATGTGTGTTTGTGTTTGTGTGTGTGTGTGTGTGTATGTGTGTGTGTGTGTGTGTGTGTGCGCGTGTGTGTATGTGTGTACGTGTGTGCATATGTGTGCATATGTGTGTACATGTGTGAGTGTATTTGTGTGTGGGGGGGGGTGGAGGGGCATAGTTCTTTAACATCACCATTTTATCACGAATACCACAAAATTACTCGATTTTCTGGAGGTTTTTTTGTAGTTTCTTTGTTTGTTTGTTGTTTGAGTTGTTGTTTTTTGGAAGGGGGTGGGGGAAGGCGCAATTTTCAAACACCAACATTTGATTTTAGCGGGAACACCAACAAAATTACTCGTTGTTAGCGACTTACACGTAGACCACCACAACATCCTCCCCGTTACCTTAGCCCACATTAAGAGGAGCGTGCACTTATTCGACGCACCGAATCTACTTGATCGAGTTGGGTCCAAAAATCGGACTGACCGATGTACATGTAAGCTTAGCACACAACATTGGAAAAAAAACCTTAGTAATTTGTAAGCGTGATTTATAAGCGTATTAAGTCAATTCCTTTTGTTTTAGTAAGACTTTTACTACACTTATTATAACACAATAAGGGTGTCGAAGATTAAAGAGAGTAACAAATACAAAAAAGAACGAAAGAGGAGAGAAAGCAGGACGATAGATGTTTGATAGGAAAGGAGCAAACCACACCAGAGCATCTGCCAACCACCCACTAAAAATCAATCCCTATGAAATGTGCACCTAGAGGAGAATGATAAGAAGCGGGACCTCCGAATTGAACGCCCATCTCTGCTGATATGACCGAGCCAAATAGGTGGAGAGTTTTAAAAAAAAAAGCTCCCCGAAACAACCCAAGTTCAGAATGCCACGTTGGGGATATGAACTAGGTCCATCCGTTCCGTAGTCCAGCGAGATATCAACTAGTCAGGGTTTTTTTAAAATAGTTTTAGTAAGTTTTGCAGCACTGGCAACACAATAAGGCCATATAAGTACCGAAGATTAGAGGTGATACAAGAGAGTAACAAACATAAATAAGAAAAAGGAGAGATCAGGATTATAGATGTTCGATAGGAAAGAAGGAGCAAACCACACCAGAGCACCTGCCAACCACCTACAGTCTAACTGTGCTCCCTCAAACTTGGATATAACAGAGATAAGAATTTCAAAGGAACTACAGGCAGGAGCTTATCAGCAAGTTAAAAAAAAATTATTGTAGTTGTTTTTTGTGTTTTTTTTGTTTTGGTTTGGGTTAGTTTGCTTGTTGTTGGGGGGTGGGGGTTTGGTAAATACCAACTGCATAGGGTCATATGAGCGTGCAGGACACACACACTAAACATTTTCAAATGGTAGGAAATTTTGAATTTTGACCGGGTTGCGGCCGAAGCCTACTCTTATCGATTTCAGACCACCAAGGGATCCTTAACATGCGCAATTTGCACACGGGACCTCCGAAATTTGTCGCCCTTATCCGAGAAGGCTAAGTGTAGATCTATCCTACCAAAAGACCAGGGGTGTGGCTGAAAGACAGCAGTAAGAAGGAGCCAAGGAGTAGAAAGGCGGCTATAGAGTCGGGAAACCAGAGGAGGGGGCAAAGGAGGTGTCGGGGCGGGCAAGAAAGTGGAGACGAAAGCAGACGACAGAACATAGCTAGAGAGCAGGAAAGGAAGTGAAAGGAGACAATTTCGAGCAGAAATTTTTCCGTCGCTACCCGGGTTCGAACCAGGGACCTTTAAATTAGAGGCGAACACCTTAACCTCTAGGTCACGAGACCCCCAAGCAAGTCTTTTGCTTTTAATTTGTCAGCATACTTCAAACCGTGCATTGATTTGAGAAGACACATTTGGTGAAGGGGGGAGACGGGTTG